ATCTTAAAAATATGTTTTCACATTCGTGGTATTCTCTTTATTGTTATAAAATATTTTTAATTTTTTTTGTCAATTATAAACATGTACTAGGTGAAACTTGAGATAAATCAAAATGCCTTATATTAAGGATCGGAAGGAGCATAATTAATCCGTTTGAAACGACAATAATGTTATGATTCGTCAATTCAGTCAATAATATAATTCATCTCCCTTATAAAATTACAATTTACATCCATTATAAATCATTTTCATTTTTTTAGATAATTGGTTATAACATTAAGTCCATGACACGATAAAAATTTGTTTCAATCAAAATGACGAAGAAAAAAGGAAAAAAAGTTGTCAACCAACGAGCATAAATCGGTACAAACCTTACAAACTAACTAACTAGTAATTCAATCCGATGAGGTGTCGACTTTAACATCAAAGGATGTTTTTGTTTTACGCGGAAAGTTTCATTAGGATTAGCCACTTCAGTCGAACACCAAGTTTGACCTTTCACAGTTCCAATTAAAAAGCTACAATTAAGTTCAAGAAATATCAAAATTAGAATCGTTTCCAGGATTACGAAAAAAAAAAAAAAAGGTTAGATTTGTTCATTAAAAAGCTACAATTAAGTTCAAGAAATATCAAAATTAGAATCGTTTCCAGGATTACGAAAAAAACAAAAAGAAAAAAAAAAGTTAGATTTGTTCATTTCAAAGGGTTCTTTTTTTACAGCATTTGAAATTTAAAAATTTGATTAGGGACATTACGCGTTACTTACGTTCCAAGTCATTAAATTATAAACTGAAATTCACTTTACTTAACTGTTGGTTATCTCAGTTTGTCCCATGCTTTAGTTACGTCTTAAGAAACGATAAAAAGGAAATTATTAAATCAAAAGAAGAGAAAACTAAGAAGGAAGGACCATTTCTATAAATGTAGTTTTCTAGGCTTAAAAATTCAATTTTGTCTGCAATTCTTTGTTTTTTTTTTTTTAGTGCTCAAACATAGTACTATGTATTACTCTCATTTAATGAATTAATTCCTTCATGGGTTGTTTCGAGATCTTTCAGCATGCCAGAAACGAAAACTTCTTCAACCCGTTGACTGATTTTCTCTTCTTTCAGTGTGACTGTAGTTCATCCCCTACTCCTAAATCCATGTTATCACTACTAATTATATCGCCGAATTTCGTTACTTTATTTTTTTCTTCTTGTATTTGCACTCCAAAATAAATACTAATAATTACTTTTTCACTAAATTATTTACTCCTTCCGTCCCATAATTATTGTCCAGTTTGAGTTTTTATTTATAGTTCAAATTATACTAAAAGTGAAATTTCAAACTGGACAATAATTTTAGGACAGATGGAGTACATTTCAATAAGTATAACAGTTGCTTGATAAAAAAAATTTTAAACGACTCAGCAATTGATGTCCCCTAGCTTTGATTGTCGTTACTTCCATAACTACAAAATTCAAATTTGGAGAGCACGTAAGTACGCGGTAAGTTGGATCGTTTCATCAGAAATCGACACTGAATTGATGGATTTTCCATCTTATTTGGAAAAATTGGAAGCAGATTTAATTGAAAAATTTCGGAAAATGAAGTGATGTGCCTTTGACTAAATGGGGTTGATCATTAAGTCAGCAACAACCGCCTAGCCGTTTTTGCCGTCTATTTAATTCAAGGAGAGCTGTTACGTTAATATATACGATCATGTCAATCACAATTAACAAGTCTAGGTATAGAACAGTGAAAAATAAAGTAAAATTATATAAATTTTATCTATCTTTATGAAAGTGAACAATTTTTAAGATCGGGGTGTGTTTTGACTTTTAAGGCGCCTTATAAACTATATATATGTTTCTTTATTATGTTTTCAATAATCGTTTTTTTATTTTTCTTTTTTTACATTTAAAAAAAAACAACAGTAATACCAAAATTTCTTTGAAAATTTTAATTCAAGGATATTTATTAAAACGCATTTCCTTATTTAATAAAATGACAAGAATTTTATGTAATGGCTGCAATACAATGTAACGTAAGACAACAATATAATGTCTAATTATCCCACAGTACAATTGTAACTAGTTTCATAATCGAGAAGTGAGTCAAATCGCTGGGGTAGAGGGAACATTTGTTGGAGGGGGAATTTGATAGGAAAAGTTTTCTTCTGAAAGAAAATATATATATATATATATATGTATATATATATAAAGATACGGACAAATAACCTACGTTTAAATTATTACTTATTTCATCCGTCCCAGAGAAATACTCATTTCATACGTTTAAATCAATATAATTTACAAATTACAATATGGATTATTTTTCTAGAGAAAAGAAAGTACTATGTTCTACCTATAGAAATTCCAAAAATAAACAATCATTACTAAAAAAGTATTTTTTTTTCTTTTTTATTAATGCTACCATGGTAACGTGGCAATCCAAACACCTTACTTTCTTTTTTTATTTTACTGATGTAATTGAAATTTTTTTTATTTATTTACTTTTTTTAAAAAAAAAAGAAGAGAGACAGCCCAATCGATGAGTTTGATTCACCGCTGGAAGAACAGTTTCGTAATCAAAATCGATCGATTAAGTCAACACAATGACCAAATACACGTAAACAAAATCTTGGTCCGTAAGCCAGTAAGGGAAAAATACTGGAAACAAGGAAAAATAAAATAGAAAAAAGAAATCTAGAAGAGTAAATTCATTTCAGCTTTAAAATAAATAAAAATATAATGCCACAACATAAGCTTAAATAAATTAATAAGCAGTATTACAATTAGAAAGACGTAGCCGCATAGTGAGATGAGCAGGTAGTGCTTTTTTGACTAGTGGAAGTTTTGAGCCATATAGTACTATCTAATTGGTCTTTAACTAAATCTTTGAGTCAACGAGCAATTCTCATTTATTTATTTATTTATTTATTTCCAGGCGAGTTTTTGCCAATTTTTGGTAGGTAATTTGCGACTTTGGGCAGACTTTTTGTTGTTACTCACCGCGTGTTCAAGATTTTAAAGGCAAAAACATGAAAGTCGTGAGATGGACTTTCTAAAAATTTACCCCAAAAAAAAAAAAAACCAGAAATAAATAAATGAAATGCTGGAAAATTGATAAAAAGGAGGGGGTGACTTTCACTATGGTGGAGTTGTTAAGGCTAATGTCTGAAAAATACAAAGTCAATTTTCTCTTTAATTAGTGGCGATGGTAGTTGTGTTGCTTTCTGGAAAATATAGTTCAAACTGTAGAATTTTAATTTCGTGAGCTTTTGTGTGAAACTAAAGAAAAATAAGTGCATGCTGCCTATCAAATCGGCTATTAATTATTAGGATATGTACCGCAAACTACTTTGAATGAAGAAAGGGCTTGCTAAAACAAGAGAAAAGAAAGGGTTAGAAAGCACATTAACAACAGTAAATGAAGTAGGGATGCTAATGTAGTGACTCTAAATAAAGGTTCATAACCATTCAGTTGACCCAAGTTGGTAAATGGTTTAAAAAAAATAAGTAAATTAGAAACGAAATCGTGATGAACATAATCGAAAATTACAATGAATCTTCACAGTAATTAGCGTTTTGAAAGGTGATTAGTCCAAGTACTGAGACACGTTTGTTTAGAAAATCTTACTATCTAAACATCTGAATAAACCGATTAAACTATATACTACTTATAATATACGTATTTTAAGATATATGTTGTATTTAAATCTGGCGAGATTTAGAATATAAATCTTTAAATATAGTTACAACGTCAATCAACGATATCTCTAACACACATGTATCTAATCATGGCAATGTTGTATATTCTCTGGCCAAACAAAAACAAAAACCAGGTGCCAAAGTTTCTAGATTGGAATGAAACCAGGTGCTATACACTAAGTAAGTGATTAAGAATCAATATTGAGACTTTAACTTTGAATGAAGACTTATAACTACTTTAGTTTCCCTAATTAGTACATATAACCTGTTCCAAGATCACCGTAGCATGCTAAACCTTAACATTCTGGAAGTAAATATCATATACTGCCGTTTTTGAAAATAACAATTAAATTACAAACATATTACAAAAGCTTCTTTGACCTCATCAAATAAAATATTATAAGCATTATGTACGTTCCCTACGAAACCGCGGTTTTAACAAAAATTTAATGGTTTTTAGCCCAACCCGGCTGCCCAATGGAGAACGGCCAAAATATGGTATACATTCTATAACCAAATCAAATTAGGCATCAAACATGTGACAAATTGGTTTGATTTTATTATTGTTTTTTAGTTCTTGTTCTTCCACCGTTTTCATCTCTCCGACTTAAGTGTTTTTCCCGCCCTTCTAGGTACAGTAGAAATTGCATATTCCCCGTTCGGTGATTATGAAACTTTGTTTAAGCCGTTTTACGTTCTTTTGCTTTCACCACCCGACTATTAACGAGGGTAGAACTAAATCTACTAAGACCAAAATTTGCTAACTCAATATTTAACAGTCGTGTGTGTGAGAGAATCATATACTCCATTCGTCTCAAAATTATTGTACAAAAATTAAGTAGTAATTTTGTGACAGAAAGAGTATTAATTTTTCAGATAAAGTGTTTGGGTCTAAACCAATTGGTCTACGTACCAAGCGATGTTAATTTTAGAGAGGTTGTTGAGTTAAAGACCAAATTTGTGTCATGCAAAAATGGGAAAATACCAATTATGTTCAACTTCAGCACCCAATTTGAAAACTCGTTTGTCTAGAAGTCAAGACCAGTTAAAACCCATATAGTAGTAGAAATAAAGTATTATTATTTGTTGGCACCCACCAACAAAACAAGCCACATGAAGTAGACTAACAACGTTTGTACGTCCTATATAAATAAGGGTCCCTACTCTCCTTTTCTCCAAACAAATTCGACGGAAACAGCAACAAAATTAATTACGTTAGCTGCAAAAAAACAGAAAAGAAGCAAAAACACCAAGAAACAACTGCATTAATTCATTTGGAGATTATTTCAGAGAGGAAAAAAAGAAATGGCTTTCTCCATGGATGTGATGGTTGCTAAGCTGAATAATTACATTGGTTTCACTGGTATTATGGGCATACTGTTTGCCTTTGCGTTTGGTTTCGCCTTGTTTTTGTTCGAGTACATTCATTTGTTCCGGAAGAACAAGAGTTCTTCTTCCGGTATTCATAAGCCGGAAACGGAGGAGCGCATCGTCGATAATTCTCCGGCCGCCGGGGAGTTCCATCAAGACAGGAGTACTGATGGAAGTCCCGAAGTCATTATTGTCGGCGCCGGTGTTGCTGGTGCTGCACTGGCTTGCTGTCTTGGCAAGGTAAATAAATATACTACTATTAATTCATAGTAGAACTTTTAACCTGTTTGATTTCTTGTCTGAAATTTTCCATTTCAAAGTCATATGTGATCCTATATATGATTCAGATCTCCATGCAAATTTTTTGATAAAAGGAGTCCATAATTGTTGGAAAACCGTTGGCTTCCCAATAAGTCTATAGGTGTCGAGTGAGAATTAGTCTGAACATGATATATACTCATTTAAAATTACCATCCCAATCCAAAACAACCAAAAATCCATTTTTTTGTAGTAAAACATCAGCAGGCTTGTCTATTCTCTTTAACAGCTGCCGGACAATTTAATTTTATTTTTCATGTCTTACACTTGTGTCATCTTCAATCTTCCTCTTACTCACGGGAAAAAAAAAAACTTTATGCTTTTCTGCATAGTAATATTTGATTATATCAACACCAAAAGAAACATAATAATAATAAATAGTGAGGAAGACATGATGAAACCAATAGAAGAGGGAATAAAACTGCCGTCCATTGTTATTCCGATGACATCAAAGTTAAATATGCTGCAGTTTGTCAAAACATGTTTCCTCAAGTTAGTTACCGTACAAAACGAGTCAATAGATACCATTTTTTGTCTGATTTTGATTAATCCTTATTCCTCTGCTTTTTCTAACAGGACGGCCGGCGTGTGCTCGTAATCGAAAGGGATTTATCTGAGCAGGACAGAATCGTAGGTGAATTACTTCAGCCAGGAGGTTATCTTAAGCTAATGGAACTTGGCCTTGAAGGTATTCATAAACCCAAAATTTTACCAAAAAAAAAAAAAAACTAAATAATAAATAAATAAAATAAAAACACTTCTTTCTTTTCATATATAACCAGTCTAGTTAATGTTCTTAATTATGATTAAGGAAAAATCTACCTAAATATATACTAATTATTTATATTTCGTGATGATTATAGATTGTGTAGAAGGGATTGATGCGCAGCGAGTTTTCGGTTATGGTCTCTTTAAAGATGAAAAGAGAACCAAAGTGGCATACCCATTGGAAAACTTGCCACCAAATGTTTCAGGAAGAAGTTTTCACAATGGAAGATTCATACAAAAGATGCGAGTTAAGGCAGCAAAAACACCCAAGTATGTTTTCATCGTGTCCTCCAACGTCATTTTTTTTTCTTCTATATAAAATTCTTGAAAACAATATTTAATTTTGGAGCCAAAAAACTCATGGAAAATTTTGCATATGGACAAGTAGAGTACTATATGACTTCATGAGTCAAACTTATGATGCTGTTCTGTTTTTTTTTTTTTTTAATTCTTCGTTCACGTAAATGGACCCCTTTTAATTTGTTTGTAAATTTTTTTGTTTCTATTCAGTGTGAGGCTGGAACAAGGAACTGTGACATCTTTGATTGAAGAGAATGGAACAGTCAAAGGCGTGAATTATAAGACTAAAGAAGGGAAAGTAATCATGGCTTATGCTCCTCTTACAATTGTTTGTGATGGTTCTTGTTCTAACCTAAGAAGATCTCTCATCAGCCCAAAGGTACTAGATCTTTCAAAACCAAAAACCAACAACCTAAGAAAACCCACACACACACACACACACACACACAAAAAATCATTTTTGTCTAACGAAATTCCTCCGCAGGTGGATATTCCGTCTTCATTTGTTGCGTTGATCCTCAAGAACTGCAAACTTCCGTTCCCGAATCATGGACATGTTATCTTGGCCAACCCTTCACCTATTCTTATGTACCCAATCAGTAGCACTGAAACTAGGTGCCTAGTTGATATTCCCGGAGGTCAGAAAGTCCCTTCAATCGCTAACGGCGAAATGGCGAATTATCTGAAGACGGTTGTGCTTCCACAAATTCCTGCTGAGCTTCACCAGGATTTCATTTCCGGGATTGAGGATGGAAACATTAAAGTTGCCACGAACAGAAGCATGCCGGCTACCCCTTGTTCCACCCCGGGCGCGATTGTACTTGGGGATGCATTCAACATGAGGCATCCTTTAACAGGCGGAGGAATGACTGTTGCATTTTCGGATATTGTTGTTCTTCGCAAGCTCTTAAGGCCTCTTGACAACTTCAATGATGCAGTTGCACTCAATGAATATCTCGAGGTCTTCTACTCGCTGCGAAAAGTGAGTATGAGATCAACTTTATCATGACCTAATTCTCAGAATCATGCTGAATTTTGGAACAAAATATATTGATGAAACTGCATCTTCTTTCCTGCAGCCTGTAGCTTCCACTATCAACACATTGGCTGGTGCACTCTACAAGGTTTTCAGCGCATCGGAAGATCAAGCGAGAACAGAGTTGCGCCAAGCGTGTTTTGATTACCTGAGCCTTGGAGGCATTTTTTCAACCGGTCCAGTGTCTCTGCTCTCAGGCCTTAACCCAAAGCCAATGACTCTGGTGATGCATTTCTTTGCTGTGGCTATCTATGGTGTCGGCCGCCTTTTGATTCCGTTCCCTTCGCTACAACGCACATTTCTTGGAGCAAGATTGATATGGGTATGAATTCTACTTTCAGTTCAATGTCTGCTTATGTACACATTTCCATTTTTAATCGGAAACCGAATCTAAATATAGTCTGTTCTTTTGACCTTTCAGGATGCATCAAGTATAATTTTCCCAATTGTAAAGGCTGAAGGAATCAAACAGATGGTGTTCCCTGTTTCCATTGACAGCATACTCTAAACCTCTGCATATGAACGCCATTGTCCAAACTCTAAACAATTCTTTTGTTGTACATTACTGTTACTATATAATTTCTTTTCTTAAATTCGATTAGGAGAACAGATTCATAGCTGATAAAACTCACTTCTGAATCTTTGCTTTTCTGCAAACTATTCCTATATTGTGTAATTCAGAAGGGATGCCAAATATGCATCACTCGATGTTACCCCCAATTGCCAATTTCTGTTTACAAGTTGTATACAATCCCGATAAAGAGAATATCCAATTTTTCTACATCCAGAGTTTACTTGTCTATTTTTCTACTTTTTCTACATCCGATAATGGAAACCAACTGACTTTTAGCAACAAAGATTGACCTTAAATTCAACAAAGGAGATGGTTTCTAATCACTGATCAGCTATTAGCTAAGTTGACTCCGTGATTCAAATTTGTCTCCTCTCCTCTTCCGCACTACAGAAGACCGAACGCCATGGCCAACTTGTCAATCATGAGTAGGCAATTAGAATATCTGTGTCAGCTTGCAGGTATTGGTTATAGTCGCAGAGTTAAAAATATTTGCAACTCTTCTCCAAATAGTTGTTTACTAGCGGATTGCACAGCTACTTTCTGGCGGTGTGCCACTCAGATGGAGAAGAAGCAAAAACATAAGGAAACAAAGTCGAAAGAATCTGATTTTTGCCAACACAAAAATATTTTAGAAAGACTTCTACAAAGAGAAATTAGTAGATTGTTTCTTGCATAACAAAGCCCGTGAGGTTCCACTAATAGGAGAGATTAGAAAGCGTATCTGAGTTGGAGTGAAAATCCTTTATGAAGTGACATTTTTAAAACAAAGGAAAATAGAAATCAGAATCACAGTAGAAACGCAGAAATCAGGTTTCAGTACTAAATTGAAGCTCAACTGATGCAAGGAATACTGATTACTACATCTGCACCTAGTAAACCACTTAGTAACATAATTTCTAAAGGTTGTAGCAACAGAATACTAACAGTGTCGATCCTATAATTTAATCCTATCTGAGAACAGGATTACTAGAGATGGAAGATGGAAGGAGTGCATCTCAACGGGGAATAAATAGATCGTCAAGTACTCTACTATCTTATCTACACCAAAAACATTCACTTGAATATTTACATCGATGAACTATTCCTCAAAGCTATGTACCTTCCACGAGTCCTCTATATAGAAAATCACCATGGGCCGGTTTGTGTTCGCCTTAAGCATCGTCTTTTAGCTCCACGCTGTAAATTCATCATCTCCATTACCTAATATTAAAGAGCAATGCAAGAGAAATCAGCTTAGTTAGAATCTGTAGCTTGATGGAATCAAGTAACATGCCACATAATATACAGGAGCATACGGAAGCATTCAATTCGGAATGAATCAACAGGGGTCTGATTAATAATTTGCATAAAAACGCAAATCAAATAATGGGGATGTGAGATCTATGCTTATCGTGATTCAAGTCCATCTGGTTGGGGAAATATTCTCAAAATTTACACTAATTTCCTTCTTTTTTAAAACGAGTAAAATGGCAAAAGATAACCATCTCTTCAAGTTGGAGACTGGAAAAACTCAAAAGCGGTTTCGTTTCAGTTAAAAGTTAAAACAGCAGCATTACTTGTCACTCTTGTGCATATGCGCATCTGTGTCTTTCGAACGTGTAAACCTTGCATATAATCAATCTAAAATGACTTTCGACTTTCGACTATTTAGGTCATCCTAAAGTGGAGGTCCAAGTAAAGAATGCAAAAAAGAAAGAGTTGTACCTGATTTTTCTGCATTTCCATGATTTCTGCCTGCAATAATAAGTGCACGGTGAAAAAAAAAGCAATCACCAGCTCAAAACTTCATGTTGCAAAGGAAATGGTTAAGTGCAAAGTAAACAAAGCTTCACCTGTTTCTTCTGCAATTCTTGGTTCTCTTCTTTTAGCTTGGCTACTTCAGCTTCTAACTCCATAGTGTAAGCCTGCCAAAAAGATAAAGAGATTGTTTTAGATCATGTTATATAAACCAATGCAGTATCCAATCACTCAGTGTCATCTCTGTTGAGCAATATATCATGCGTGTTATGCAAAAGATGATGCTTTAGCAACTTTTATTCCATAAGGTCCTTTACTCATGAACCTTCTGAGGATCCTTCATCTCATCTGGTCTTAAAACAGCACTACCAGTCTACCATCAACTTATAGTGGCACCTAATATCCGAACTCCTAATCTGAAGATTTCAGGGGAAGCATTAACCCAAAAAAAAAAAAAAAAAGATTTCAGGGGAAGCCAGCATAGATCAGAAAAAGCATCTTAACAACCATCATAGTTCAGTAAGGCAAAGCAAGAAGGAAATATTTTATCCTTGTTTAAAAAAGAGCATCAAAAGGGCAACAGGGATTGTATCTTGCAGTTTGTTCAGTATTAGATTATAGCTTTAACTCTCCACATTAGCCTCTGATGGCAGCTACTCAATCTCTGTTTAATTCTTTAGCCTTCTCAATCTCATGTACATTATCTAACAGGAATCAGAAATGGCCAAGTGTTATAAGGATCTATATCCTGCACTATTACATTGTATTTCCTTCTTGTTCATACACACCATGAAGGAGATGTGTATGCACTAAAATCTAGATCCTTTCTAGCTAGAGAATCCAAAATATTAAGAGACATAAAGCTGGCAAATTCCACAGCAATAAACAAAACACAATTATATTTCTCCAGAAAACAAGAACAACTTCTCAAGTCCATCATAAAAAGAAACTAAATTCTATCAGAGATCAACTAAGAGATACACACCTGCTTACGAGCCCGTGATCTTGCTGCTGATTCTCTGTTCTTTATCATTCTTCTCTGCCTCCTCTCGACGACCTTTTCCAACGCAGTGCTTTTCCTGCCTCGCATTCCACCATTGAACACATACGGGACTGGAGATACAGAAGAAGTATCTCCATTGCTCTTCCCAAGCCCATCTGATGAAACTCCAGGAGACACTGCAGCAATAGTAACACCAGCACCTCCAACACCAACCATCCCCATCCCTGCACCCGGTAACCCACCATTCTGAACCATATTCCCACCTGCTGTAAGATCTCCAACAATCCCACCTCTCATTCCAGGACTAGATAACTGGCCTGCACTACGTATGCCCACTGAAGGAGCACCATAGTCCATGCCAGGCTGCTTGGGGAAAAGGGGTGGCTGCTGCTGCTGCTGATGCTGCGGTTGTGACAACGGTTGAGTCTGATTTGTTTGTACAGTTTGTGCTGTCCCTAACTGCTGCTGAGCAGTTCTGACCCCATTGACATTTAATGGTAAATTGGAAGCATTCATACCAATTTGATTACTACTTTCCAAAATCCTTCCATTAGTTAGTCCAGTATTCATCCCAGGTTGGGGAAATCCAAAACCTAAAGCCTGATTGTTCGCAACACGTGACAAATCATCAAAAATTCCAGCAGTATTCCCATACAACTGAGCATCTTCCCTCACAACACCAGCTCTAACCAAAAATTCCTCAAGTGTCATTTCCCCTAAAGTTGGTTGCCTCTGAGCCTGAGGCACATTTGAATAGGCAATAGAATTGTTATCCTTCCCACCACTGAAATTGAATTCTTTCGACATATCCCTCCAAACCTCATCCACAGTTTTCTGACTTAGTGTTCTAGGAAGTGTTAATGATCCCTGTCTCTGTAAATACCCGCTCGAACCAGCTAAATCTGTGGCAGCAACACCAGCAGCAGATCCAGTAGACTGAATCTCTTCTGCACTCCAAATGTTCTTCAACAACTCATCCATATTCATTGACCCAAAATCCTTCCCACTCCCTCCTATAGTGTTCTGAAACTCATCGAAAGTTAATGAATACACAGATGACTGACGGGCTAATGGAACATTTCCCGGCGGCCTTCCCCCACCATTTTTCCCACTTCCATCATTCGGGTCGTTCCCAAAATTCTTGAAATTAAACTGGCTTCCCATTTGACAAAAATCCTTGCACTAAGACCACCTGATTTTAGTCCAATGTTTTCACCGTCTTCTTCAAAGAACAAATCAATTTAAGATCACAGCTTTTTCCTCCTACTATCAATCCTTCCGGGAGATGATAAAGCAATGTACCCTTACAATAAATTCTGCACCAAATTTTGAGCCGACTTCAGGGCAATTTTCTTCACAAAATTAATCTACATTCAACTAAACACAGAAGAACTTCTTCCAAAACATGTTTCAATAAACTTTATACTCCACGAACTGTAAATCAACGCAAAGCTGGAAAACAATAAGAACCCTAAAGCAAAATGCCAACAGCCCCACCAAAAAGTTCAATCCCAGAACTTAATTCGAGTAACACAACTCCCTCAGCATTATCTCTAACACTTCAACAACATTTCCTACCAAATATTAACACACAAAAAAAGACCCTTTTAATCGTCGAATAAAAACAAGAGACTGGAACAACAAAAACTGTATCAACAGCAGCAGATAAGCACAAACAAAAGAAGAAAGAACGAATGAAGCGTAGAAATAGCTAAAGACAGAAACGACAGAGAGAGAAAGAAATGAACTTTTTCAATGTGTGTGTGTGTGTGTGTTTTTTTTTTCTTTTTCTTTTTGCTCCAAAATCTAAAACGTCGTTTGTCTGTTCACCTGGATTTTGCTTCTTTTTTTTATTTTCTTCCTCCCCTTTTCAGCTTTTCTAACTTGGCCGCAAATACACAACAAAAGGGTTCAAATCGCGACAAGTGTCTGCATAAGGATATTTCTTGCGAAGAAGAAAAAGAAGAAGAGGAGAAGGCTTTTGCTAGAGTTACAGTGAGGTGATGGGAAGAAGGAAAGACTTTTTTAAAAATATTTATTGAATGGGTGCGGGACCCTGTTGGGTAAAACGTGACCCAATGACGACGAGGTAGGAAAAGTTTGGTGTGATGTTTGAGCGAATAGGCGTGTGCGAAGTGGGGGAATTATTAGCCGTCCACGTCTTATGGTTTATAGACGGTCGAGATTTGTTTGGATTCTTGTGTCACGATAGGATAGGAAGAGATGATAAATACAGATTGAGTTGAGCTACAGTGCATTTGTTATTGTTGTTATTGTTAAGATATTTTTGTTTATGTAATTTTCAAAAATGGAAGTGATCGCCAATTATCATCATGACTTCATAAATTGCTTGTAGGAATATTGTTTTCAAGCTTGTAAGAAATCATTACCATTTGAAAGTGTTCGATGTACTACTATTTATGATACGATGATAAAATGATATTCTCTCCGTCCACAAAAATTGTCCACATTGAGTTTTGAAATTTTTACTGTTTTTAGTACAAATTTGAAAACTAAACGTGGACTATTTTATGGGAGGGAGGTAGTATTCAATTTTGAAATGAGATTTTTTTTTTAATTATTTGAGTTTTTATCTTTTAGGGCCCAAACTGTTCTAACGGACTTAGGATTATATTTTCCGGGCCCTTAATTCAGGAAAGCGGAAAACATTTGGCAAAATTGTAATCCTACTAAACTCCTTCATTTATATAGAAATTTCAATTATACACTATATTACAATTAGGGTCACTTCACACTATTGAGTCTTGTTGACTCTTCTCGACTTGATTTCTTCCGGTTCTATACTCTCGTTATTTACTTAAAAGGACAAAAATAATCGAATGATTGTAAACAGACTCATATCACTTTCGATTTTCATCAAAAATATCAATTCAAGATCCTATTCGATTATTGACTTATTAGTTCTTCATTCTAGTCTGATCACTTTTGGACATAATCTTCGACTTTTCATTTATCTTCCTCCCGACATAACTTCATTATTTGCTTTGCCGTTCAACTCATTAAACAATGGTGAAGTTATGATCATCGCCCCATTGCTTAATTAAAGACGTCGATCAATAATGAGTCTCAGTTTCTACTTCAAAATTTGAAAAATTTGTCTATAAAGTGAAAAATTTCCCGACATGCATCACCTTATCCATCTACCACCGAACAAAATAATTGAATTTTTCATTCAGAATTTAAAATCAGTATATACCATATTCCACTACTTTAATCCTTAACTTTGGGACCTCGACTTTACCTCTCATCCTTTTGTTTTTTTCTTTTTTTTCCCCTTTTCCCTTGGCTTTCTAAACATGCACTTAATAAAATTCGATTTCAGAAAATGATGTAAATGTAATTGAATATTACATACTCACTCTGGTCCTTAATATAAGGCATTTTGATTTGTCCTAGGTTTAACCTAATATACATTTTTAATCGACAAAAAAATCTTAAAAATATATCATAACAATCAAAAGAACACAACGAATGTGAAAATTTATTTTTAAAATTTTTTTGTTAATTAATAATGTGTATTAAGTGAAATCTAATAAAATTCAAAATGCCTTATAATAAGAATCAGAGGGAAGATTACATATGCACATAAATATAAACTGTAACTGTATATAATTTATTAATAACTATTGATACGAACGATGGTAATTTTCTTTTACATCATTCTTTACAACTTTAATTTTATTAGAATATTTCATTAACCATATTGTTACCGGTTATCTAATATATGGTTGGGGTTTGCTTTGTTAGAAAGAAACAGAGGTATGATTGTCCTCTGTACGTATGTACATGTAGCACTAGAGTAATTACGTGAATGAAATGATGAAATGAAAGGACTCTACAAATAGAAAACATCCCATGATTCTTTAATTTTCCAGATTTGGCACTGAAAGTTGGAGCTTTTCGGAGTTTAGTAGTAGCTTTTACCTTTTAGTCAAGCCGGTAGATATTATTTTGCCTTATTTTTATTAGTAAGGCACAGTTAGTAGTAGCAGATATGGGATAAGACCAATTATTGAAAGACGGTACACTTCTCTTATCCGATCCGACTTTATGTGAATTGGATACTCCTTTTTCCTTTAGTACCTTTTAATTTTATGGCACAGAGTTTAAAATATTTTCGTATTGTAAAAGATTAATAGGTTTTTGCTTTGACGGAGGAAAGGAAGTACAGAGAAGAAGTAATCTGTATATTCTGATTAAAGTGTAAAAATGAGTTCCCGTGATGTATAAGCTAAGTAAATTAGCTCATATACAATCATTAACACTAACCGACTTTAAATACTGATTTATACAAAGTAGTCTTATTATTTACAGAAACTATAATTCAGCCCATGATCAAGACAATTAACTTTCTACATTAATAATTAAACAAAATCTGTTTAAGTATATGATCAAGGAGGCTCTAATTCTTCAAGCTTTGGCTCCCTTAGTTCACTCTTTAATTCTGATATCCTCCCATCAAGCTCAGGCTGTGGATGATGCAAATCTGATAAGATGAGCTTGTACAGTAAAAGGCCAAAGTGAGGTGAAAGCAACACCTTTGTAAACATATTAACAGGTTGCAGCTGAGAAGCAATGTGCAAAGGCAGCAAGAAACCATCTTTGTATAAATTCTCACAATGTGACAGCCTATATCTAGGTGTTTCATTCTTTCATAGAACACTGGATTCATGGTGATATGCAGTTCTGACTTATTATCACAAACAAAAGGAATTGGTAGTGGAACATCAAGGATGTACTTGATCCATTGAAGTTCACAAGCTGTACTTGCCATGCTTCTATATTCGGCCTCACATGATGACCTAGATACTATAGTCTGTTTCTTAGTCTTCCATGAAATTAAAGAATTCCCAAGAAATATACAGTATCCTGAGGGACAATCTGCTCACAATGCATTTTGCCTAGTCTGCATCACAAAATGCAGTTAGAGTGAGATCATCATGACTAGAGTAGAATAGTCCAAGTGTCCCTTTCAAATATATCAATACATGAATGGCAGCCTTCCGATGTATTTCTCTAGGTGCTTGTAGATATTGGCTCAACTGCTAAGTACAATGTGCCAAATCAGGTCTTGTAATGCCTAAATACAGTAATCTACAACCAGCCTCCTATACTGGCTAGGGTTTAAGTATGGTAGACTTGATTCATCTTGAAGATCCAATTCTTTAGGCAAAGGGGTAGAAACAGATTTGCAACCTAGCAAACCATTGGATTTAAGGATGTCAAACACATACTTCCTTTGATTAAGAACAATGCCATCAGAAAATCTTGCCACCTCTACTCCAAGAAAGTACTTAGCAGGTCCTAAATCCTTAATGGTGAATGCCTGATGTAACTCCTTCTTTGTTTGCAGAATCAAATCTTCTGAGGTTCCTGTGATTAGCACATCATCCAGATAGACAACCAGGAAAAGACAGAAATCCTGACCATATTTGACAAACAAACAATGATGATTTGGTGATTGGACAAAACCATGATGTTCCAAATGTTTGGTAAACTCATGATTCCACTGCCTTGAAGCCTGTTTAAGACCATACAAAGATATCTTGAGTTTACAGACTTGGTGAGGAAGAATAGCAGTATAACCTAGTGGTGCCTCCGTATACACATCTTCTTCTAAGAAACCATGTAAGAAAGCATTGTTTATATTAACTTGATGTATTGGCCAAGCCTTAGCAGCAGCAATAGCAAACAAGATCCTTATTGGCTTTGTCACAGGAGAAAATGACTCAAAAAAATCCTCTCCCTCTATTTGTGTATATCTCTTTGCAACTAATTACTTTGCTTTGTATTTTTCCACTGATCCATCAGGATTGTATTTGACCTTATTAATCCATTTGCACCCTATAGTTTCTCCCCTGGTGGCAAACTGGTGATTTGCCAAGTTTGATTCTCTTCCAAAGCTCTCAACTCTTTCTGCATTGCATCTATCCATTCTAGAACTGTTTTGGCCGGTGTATAAGAATGTGGTTCTGATATTTTTGATACATGTGCCAGGAAGCTGAGATAAGAAGGGTCTATGAAAGGGTTTACTGTATATGGATAAGTGGGTGGAGAAGTGAATTTGGGTTTTACTACACTGACCTGATTAGTTGCATAATCATTTAACCAGACAGGTGGTATGTGAGTTCTAGTAGACCTTCTGAGTAGAATATGGTTATTTGAAGGATCATTGGAATTGGTAACTATGTTGTTATGGGAACTGTGTTGAAGAGTTATAGAATGGATCGGAATCATTGTAAGTATGTGGATGATCATTCTGAATGACATGGCTATATTCAATGTCATGATTCTGAATAGAAATAGGTAAGGTACTATGTGTATTTGACACAGATGAAGAATAAGGAAAGAGAAGTTCATGAAAAACAACATCTCTTGAAATATAGATTTTATGATCAGTCAGACAATACACTTTGCAAGCCCTATGACCTATAGGGTAACCAATGAATATGCATTTCAATGCTCTAGGATCAAACTTGTCCTCTTAAGGGCTATTATTAGATTTGAAACATTGGCAACCAAAGGTTCTGAGATGAGAGAGGTCATGTGGCCATTTATTGAGCATTTCAAAGGGTGATTTCAAACTTAAAACTACAGAAGGAAGTCTGTTTATGATGCATTTGACAGCAAGAATTGCATCCCCCTAGAATTTCTTAGGAAGGGAGCTTTGAAATAGAAGAGATCTTGCTACTTGTACTAAATGTTTGTGTTTTCTCTCCACAACACCGTGGAGTATAGGCACAACTTTTCTGATGTAGAATGCCTAAATCAGTAAATAAAAAAGTGCAATCTTGGTTTACAAAATATGTCCCATTATCTGTTCTTACGATTTTTACTTATTTATGAAACTGAGTTTGCACCATTTTTAAAAAATCAGATAGGATTTGGCAAGTATAGGTTTTATGTCTAATTAGAAGGGTCCAAGTGCTCATACTATGATGTTCCATAATGGTGACAAAATAAGAAGTTTGATT